TCGATCGACGATCAAAGAACCACATTGATGCCCAGGATGTCCGAACAGCTGATTGTCCTAAAGCAAACTATTTTGTACATAGTGTATGTTTATTTTATGTGAAAATAAATGGTTTTTGTCAGGTACTTGTCATCTTTGTCTCCTCTGCCACCGCACATGTACGAATGGACCCTAGACCACCACTGATGCACAAGTAATTGATTGCCCCTGGAAGTCTGCTTCTTACAGAAACACAGCTTCCCTATCATTAAATGTCATGGCATGCCACTGATAAATACAGTAGAGCGTCGATTTTCCGAAAGTCAATCATCCGAAAGAATTTCAGTCGGCAAATTTAAATTTTCGCCAGTGCTGTGGCGCTTCAATCTTTCGCTATGTCTTGGGCTACTCAAATATTTTACGTTTTTGATACTAAATTAACATCTGAAGTATAATTTTTTTATTATTTTTATATTTTTCAATATATTTATTTTGTTTGTACAAAATAAAAAAATAATTTTTAACGATACAATAGTNTATTTATTTTGTTCGTACAAAATAAAAAAATTATTTTTAACGATACAATAGTCTTTGTTAGGCTTAATATCGACGAAAATTTAACGCGAAGCGACACGCAACGGAAAAAAATTTCGACATCGGATACGTTAAACTATTTTTTCGTACGTAAATCAGTTATCCGAAATATCAGTTATCCGGACAACCCCAGTCCCCAATTGATTCGGAAAATCGACGCTCTACTGTATATATATATATGTTTGTTTTTTTTTTTTTTTGTTTCAACTTATAAGTCATTTTTTTTATAGATGTTTAATTGATGATTTTGTGTAATATTATATAACTGTGAAGTAATATGTGCAATGAAAATAATTTTGTAGAAAGCAACAGTTTTATTATTTCTTATTATTCTTTTGAAACTTAGTAACAGATTTCAACATAATTTTGTATACAGTAAGTTTAAACAAATTAATTAATCCTAGTTTAGAAGTTAAAAGTAATTTTGGTATAAATAAAGTAAATGTTCTGATAGTCACTGTGATTATATAATGTAATAATGTAGTGAAATAAAGTTAAGTGATATAAAAAACATAACTATGCATATCACTACAGCAGATCTGATTATGAGAAACATATTTTTATTTTTATCTATGTAAAAATTACTGTTAATCTCTAAATTTAAACCTGATTTGCTTGCTTAATTTTATTATTTTAGGAAGTTTCATTTTGATTTTTAACAATCATATTAATGTAGATGTAATGTACTGTATGTTGGGTATAAAATTAAACCCAACATACAGTAATAATTGTGAGATAGGCTACTGCTGAATTTTTATTTGAGCTATAATATTATAGGAAGAATAAAAATATGGCAGTACCATATCATTGTTACCATAATTATTAATATTAGTACTTACAACAAAATGGTAATTTTAGAATTGTTAAAATTATAAGAAGTCTGTATCAATTTTTACAATTCTAAAATTGACCATTTTAAAAAAATAGTGAATAATTATTCAAAATTAATTGTTTAATTGGAATATATGTGAATGAAATTATTTATAAATAAGAATTTCTTGAAACATTTTACAAGATTAAAGAATGGCTTCTGAGGATCTATTATTTTTTTAGGAGTTTCAGAGTACATTTACATCTTTCCTACAATTTCAAAAAAAGTTATGCTGGAAATTTGACTAATTTGTACTGGAAGGCCAGTGTAAAATGGCCAAAAACATTTGTAATGTATGGTATTAAACCAAATTTTTTGATGGAATCATAGATAAGATATGATTGTACTCAGAGCTTTTTAGAAACATCACCAAACGATTAACTAAATAATTATTAATTTTGTTAAGAGATGGTGCCTAATCTATCTCTAGTAGCAAATTACTTGGTATTAATTATTAACATTTAGCGGAATTATAGCCCGATTATTTAGGGGATTGTTTGGTGATGTTTTTATATACATGTCGGGTTTTGCAATGTTTGATATCTGAATTTTTTGTTTCATATGCATATACAGTATATAAATTTTAGGAGTTTGTCTTATTATAAACATTTTTTGAGATTTGTGATTTAACTTTAGATTTGAGAATTGAAGATGAGGAACAAGTTCTGTTTGTAAGGAAATTATAGTTCAAAATAAAAGATGGAACTAGATTTAGACAGATTAAAAATGTTGTGATTTTGTCCATACATTCATAAATGTTGAATGTTGCTCATTTACCTATAGATGATCATATGCATTCATTTGCATAGTAATCTAACTTTGCATGGCGATTTTATACATATCTTTTTGTATTCAAATATACTAGATTTAGCAGATTCATGTTAAAAATATCTATTAATTAAGTAGTAATAATATTTCTGTAGTTATTATTAGAATTTGTATATACAGTATTTCATATGTCACTTTTTGAATGTTTTTAATTGAAGTATATAGAAAACTTAAAAATAGTAAACCCCCACTAACTTGGACAAACTTTTTGAAAAATTGCACAGTAATTTAAAATTTCTTTACAATAGAAAAATTATAATTAACAAGTGTTTCAATATCTAGAAGTCTTTGCAATACTGTGCATTATATTACTGTAGTAGGTAAGTTACTAAAGACTGTACTCTCATCAAATTTTTTGAGCTTATTATCTGTTATAATAAATTCAGTAGTATTACCTACTAAATCTCATTAAAACTTAAACATTCAGGTGTTCTGTAATATCAACAAAGAATGCCAAGTCTGACAACCATTTCTCATCATTCAATGCTTCAGTGGGAATTCCTTTAATATCCATGAATAGTTTAATTTCATATTTAAGATTATAAAATATTTTTAATACGGTTGCTCTCGAGAGCTAACAGACTGGGCAATAATGTTGAACATCTGTATATTCACATTCAAGATCAATTAGCAATTCTTGAAATTCTCGATGACTAAGCGCTGATTTTTTAATTGTGTTTATGTTGTTGGATACGATAGACATTACATTTTCTAATTGCATAGCTTTTGCACATAGATTTTTTTGATGGATGATGCATTGAGATATGAATAATTTAGAAAAATTCTTTCTCCCATTTTTTGTTTAAATAAGAAAATGACTCCCTTATTTTTTCCTGCATTGCTGTCACACCATCTGTTGTTAACCCAGATAATTTTTTTAGTAATAGATTAAACTTTTGCATTGAAATTTCTACTTGTTTGAAAATGTCTGCACTGGTAGTCGTATTTTTTATTGTATTTATCAACAAGAGTTCTTCGCAGACATTCATATTTGAATCAACTCCTCAAATAAATATTGACATTTGAGCTAAATCAGTAATATCAGTGCTCTCATCTAAAGCTAATGAATAATATTCAAGCTGCAATATTCAAAATTTCAATGTATTCTCCACATTCATTGATAAATCATCAATATGTCTCGTTATAGTTCACCACAATAAAGAAATTGAATTGATAATTGTCTTCTTTTCTGGTATGAGTAATCTAACAACTTCAGATATACATTTTTTAATAAATTCTCTGTAATATATGTTGATGATTTAGATAAACATTAAATGTAATGTTTGTTGACGATTTAAACAAACGAAATGTAATCGAATAGGTGTTGAGGTGGCAGGATGGAAAGGGAGCGAGAGTAGCTCGAAGGAACCAGCTGGATGTAGAAGTGTTTAGTTGTATTAATAAAGAGTTATTTGTACCATATTATCTGGTCAGTTGATTTGTTTATAATACATTCTCCATCTGAATACGGTTTTAAATTTTTTGCTATTTGTAAAGCAACAATATAACTAGCTTTAGTATTATTTTTATTTTCTTTGTTAATACTCACAAAGATATTTTGTTGACATTTCAAAGAATTTTTTAAGTTCTCAATTTCTTTACTCATTCGATACCTTGATATCTGTCATAACTTGCATGTTTCATTTGGTAGTGTCTTTTTATATTAAATTTTTTTTTCAGCGATAGTTTTATTGCAAATTAAACATAAAGGTTTTTCATTATGTTCTGTAAAAAATATTGCGATGTCCATTTATCTTGAAAAGATCTGTTTTCGGAATCAACTTTTCTTTATATACTGTTGTTTGATGCCATTTNTGTTGCCTAAAGACAAAGGAAGACCAATCGGTATTTGTTATTTTACGTCACTTCTTGTGTTTGTTCAGTGAAGTGTTCGTTATCCGAACATATGTTCGTTGTCCGATCATAAAAATCTTTCGCGAAAGTGTTCGTTATCCGATTTGTTCGTTAACCGATCTGTTTATTAACCGATCTGTTCGTTAACCGATCACCCACTGTATTAAGTAAAGGTAATTTACTCATATAAAAATACATATGAATAAAAATATAGGTACAGAAAAAGTATATACAGTTGACCCCCATAACACTGTTGATTATTCCATTTTATATGAATTCCATGTTGTACGAGTCACTTAGATTTTACAAATATGTGAGCCATTCACAGCCCAGCACACACATTTGTAAAATCTAAGTGACTCATACAACATGGAATTAATATAAAACGGAATAATCAACAGCGTTATAGGGGGGTCGACTGTACTTATAATAAATCTGATCAAAAACAATTTTAATTGAAAGAAATTTCAGGGACTTGCTGATAATCTGATACAAGTGAAAATGGCAATGGTAATAGGTTCAGTACTACATACATTTTGCTGAAATTACAAGTTGATTGGCTTTCAACCTGATATCTACTTTCCTTTCTCCATTGATGAACATAACATCCTATTGTATTTGAATTTCATGGTCCACATTATACCCACTTGTCTCTGAGCAAAACTTCTTATTTGTGCAAAAGACTCGAAAAGAGTCAGAACTACAGTAGACCCCCCTATAACGCTTAGATACATTCCACGCTAATTGAATTTTACGTTGTATGAATGATTAAATACATGAGCCAATCGCAGCCCGATAGGTGGGAACTTTACGGACTAAGGCTGTTCGAAAGGTTTTCTTCTATAAAATTAACCGATTCTAGACTAATTCNCTACATTATAATCACATGGGAATCAGTAAAACATTATGGAGAGCAAAAGAACATGTCTTTTGGCCGTTCATGGAAAAAGAAATAATTGATGTTGTCAGGAACTGTCCAGCATGTCTAAAGTATCAAAATTCAAATCCGAAAGAAACGCTTATTACCAGAGAACTGTCCACAAGACCGTGGGAAATTGTCACAACTGATATCTGTCATTTATTTGGTAAAGACTATCTACTAGTAATAGATACATTTTCACAATTTCCAGAAGTTTATTGTATGAATCAGAACACCACTCATTCCAGAATAGTTGAAGCTATGAAATCGATATTTTCCAGACATGGCAAGCCAGAAATTATATACTCAGGTAATGATACCCAGTTTGTAAACAAACATTTTCAACAATTTCTAAAACACTGGAAAATAACACATAAGACAAGCTCTCCACAAAATCCTCAGTCTAATGGTTTTATTGAACGGCATGTGCAGACTATCAAAAAATTACTTAAGAAAGCAGTCTATGACTCAAAGGACATTTATCTGACCTTGTTGGAATATAGAAATACACCTTTAGGTCGAGGTATTCCATCCCCAGCACATCTTCTGTATGGTCATAGGTTGCGAGGGCAAGTGCCCACAAGGAATAATCTCTTGAAACCCAGAATAGTTGTAGACAAATTTAGAAAAAACCATTTGCAAAGACAACAAGTACAGAAACACTATTTCGATAGAAATGCTAGAGACCTAACAGCATTAAATCCACATGACCAAGTGATGATCCAAATTGATAAAAGAAACTGGGAGCCTGGTGAAATAATAAAAATAGACAGATATCGACCAAGATCTTATATTGTGCGCATAGACAAAGATGGTAAATACTTCATTCGTAACTGAAGATTTTTAAGGAAGTTCGATGTGAATAGATTTAGAAACATACAGAATCATTCAGGCGAATTGTTGGATCAACCAAGTGAGGATGAACAGGCCAGTGAACAAGGAGAAAACATGGATAGTGGTAGAGAGGAAAAGGACACAGAGAATGAGCAGTTGGAAAATCAGGAGGTGAACAGCAATGAGGCTACGGACTTGACAACTCAATCAGGCCAGGTGATCCATAGGCCATTGCGTTTCAAAGACTTTGTGTAAGAAAGGGAGATGTAATGTGTATTGTATTGGAAATGTTAAAATGTAAAATATTAGTGAGACCGCCAGGTGGCGATCGTTGCTGATGCATCACGTGAACGTGTGGTGCACCCCTTGCACACCCGCTTACGGTGAGCCTAATACATGTCACACAATTTTTTTCTTGCTTGAACAGCATTTTTATTTTTTTGGCAATAGAAAAGCAAAATATGCCAAAAACGCTACTTTCATTTTTCCATATTTGATGAGACACCAAAAAAAAAGAAATTACACATGTAATAAAGCCGACTTACAGGGGCAAACAGTTAATTGCATGTCAGGAAAAGCCTAAGGACTGATTATATGTTGGTGGTGATACTGGTGGTGAAGCAAAGATAACACGTGTCCTTGCGACAAAACCGTTTATTATAGTTTATTATAGTAAAGTATGGCTTACACAAATGTTGACAGGTGGTTGATGTCAAAAGGCAGTTCAACAGTGCCAGACTGTCCAAAATAACAGAGTTCACTTATCCGCTCACTGTCTCTATGTTTCATGATGTCTGGTGATGGATATAGTTGGTTCAAAACAGCCCTGGGGCAGAGATGATGATGATGATGACAATGATATAGTCTGTTTGATGATGGCTCGTTGAAGTTGGTTATTGACATCAAAGTTCCATTACAAGATGCAAATGACACAGAATAGGTGTAATTACATTAGGTGAAAATCAGCCATTCAACGTTGAGTTTCAGGGTTTTTATAGGAATTTTCCCTCGAATCTCGCCTTTTGATTGGTCCTGTATACTCTTCCTCACTACTCAATTGGTCTCTCTTTTGTTTCTAGGTGAAAACCGAGAGTTGATCGGGTCATGAGAAAGGTTCGTTTCGTGGTGTCTGTCCAATATTTTTTTGTTGACTCTGACTGAAGTTTGTTGATAAAACTGTAAGCCATATGATCATAATTTAGCTTCGTTGTTTTTATTTTCAGTCAATTTTTGGAATTTAATGATCGTATGCAATGTTTTTCTGTCCATTATATCTGTCCCCTTTTTCAACTTTTTAACTTCAATCAATTGTTTAGGAGTGCTCGTGCCAGAGTTTCATCTTCCCCGGCCAACGTTCCTCCTGATCCATTACGTCATTTGTCTTCCTGTCACATTTGTTTTGACAACTACAGGTTTATTTTTCTCGTCTCCCTTACATAACTAATATGACCTTTGGTCAGACTTGACAAATAGCATTTTTGCTTTTAACATGTAAAATTAAATTTTAGTTTTGACTCGTTCTGGAACCTCACACACAGAATCAAACAAAATTTTTTACAAATAAGCCTTGAATTGTTAGCTGTCAAAATATATAATGATGTGGGGGCCGAGGGGGGGAGAAATTAAAAAAACTTTCGAGGAACGATAATAGGCGATATGTATTGTCGTCGTCTCCCTTGCCGTTTGGATTGCCGAGCGGTAACATTCTATGACATGTGGAAGCAGTTGAGTCAGAGATAGATGCTTCGTTTACAAACAACACAACCGTTTATTAAACACGAAAGAAGCTTACAAGATGTCTGCGATCTTGGAAGTTCTGCGGCNACTTTTCTTTTCATACTGTTGTTTGATGCCATTTTGCTATAAAAACTGAATAAATATTTATAAATATTGTTATTAAAATTATTAAAGAAATTTTTGTTATTACGTTTAAATAAATTAATTTCAATTTCAAATAAATAGTTCTTTTTAAAACCCAGTGACAATTCACTCAGTTACCACAAATTACAACATTAGATATTCGGCTTTGATCTTACACATAGACAGAATAAGAATATACTGCACAACAAAAATAGTTGTTATGAGTGGGGACATTTGAAGGGAAAGATGCTTTAATGGATGTTAGTTTTAACATTAGTATTAAATTATGAACATACATGTTTTTATGTGTGTTTAATATTCAATTTAAACTAGACGAATTACATCAAAAAATATTTATTCATAATTTCTTCTAAACATCTTGCAGGCCTGATAGAAACTTTTCACAGGCCGGGGGTTGCCCACCATTGGTTTACAATATGAATTGTGATTAGTTCTGATATAATTTTGCAAAGAAAAGTTATTCGAAACTTTATTTTTATTGTGATTTATTCTGCATATAATTCAAAATACATTGCAGTTTGAAAGAAATGAAATTTCTTATTTATAGAAAAATACTGCAACATTCTATTCTTTTTCTAATTCAAAAGTTATCAATCAATATATTTTAAATATAAAATATAGTGGTATGTAGCCCACTTAACACAATTTAACGTATACAGTATATTGTGGTTAGTCTTTATTTTAGCACAACATTTTACATCCTCGACCTTCACTGACCTGGTTCACATTCCAATTGTGGTGGTACACAAATATATTTTTTTGTTATATTTTTATATATATGTATATATATGATTTTCTATCTTTCCTTCTTTCTTTGTTCTGTGTTCCTTTGTCTATACTTTTTGGAACTTTCGTCCAAGTGTGGGTGGTCGGTGACCTAATTAGGAGACAAAGGATTAGAAATAGCCCAGAGGGCAAGTGAGAGACTAAGTGAGTACTTTTGGCTTTGGACCTAGAAGAGGGAAGACCGTCGGAGAGAGGTCTCCAGGTCGGTGTTGCTTCGACTGAAAGAGTCACGAAGAGCACGTAAGAAAGAAGTAGCGTTGATAAGGACATTGGTAAGCCAAAGATAAAAGACATTTTTATCCATTCTTGCATGCGATCTGTCCCCAAAAGGAAAAATCCCAAGACGAAGTCATCCAGCAGCCGCTACCTCAATCACCAACTCGGGTACCCGTTCCTTCCTAAAAATATATATCTGTTTCTCTCTTCTAATCTAACTTTCTTTTTCTTTTTCCTTTTCTTTTTAGATATAAGTAGGTTTAAGTTAGAAATTAAGTATCTCTTTGTATCGCGAAAGTTCTTGCTCGACTGTGAATCGAAATAGGTGTTGTTTGTTCTTTTGTTTGAAGTAAGGAGTCAGGAGGTCGGAATCAACAAGAACCTTTCCTGTATATGTTCACAAGAAAAAATAAAGCACGTCTTATTTGTTTTATATACCCGTCTCTCTGTGAAAAATCAACCCTCACCACGTGCTTATTACAACACAATGCTGCCTAGCCCGCTGGGTTGACTATGTTGCCAGTCAGATAAAAGCACTTCTTTTCTTTTACATAGCCCAATTACATAACAGGTTAAATAGTGATGTTTACTTACAGGAGTCAAAGTTAATGTAAATATATCATAAAGTAAGCACAACATATAATTTGGTAATTAATACATGATGTAGTTGATATAGGATAAAGGAGCTTTGTGTTCTTTTCGTGATTTGCTACTCTCATCATACTCTGTTTCGCTTGTCTATACTGCTTTTGGAGGGTTGTCTTGCATCCGTGCAGGATCACTGTGGTTTTCTGACCATGTCTCAGTAGACACTTCGTTTTCTAGTGTTGGCCCTGATTCTGAGCTAACCCCAGATCTCTCTTGGGTTGTTTCTGGTGGTGTATGTTTGTTTGGAATAAATCTTTTAACCATGGAGACATTCCTGGTAAAAGTAATCTTTGTTGGTGATTTTACAGTGACCATATTTCCCGCTTTTCTAGTTATTTGATATTTTGCTAAATCAAACTCGCAACTCAATTTATTTTTTTTTCTCTGCCACAGGAGAACAGTATCACCTGGTTTCAAATCGCATTTCTTTACCCTATACTGTTTATCATAGTACTCCTTTCCTCTTATCTTTCTCTATGTAACTCTCTCTCTTAGGTCTTCATTGCCTCCAATATCATCGCTAAACTTGGGTAGTTTTGTTCTAAAAGAATAGATGAACAAGGAACATGGGTATATTCTACCCCCACTCCTCTAGTCCTAGCTATTAAATGCTCATCTAGACAATATAGATCACCTTCATATTCTTCCACAATTAGTAAATTGAATAATACAGGCTTGATACAATTACCAAATGCATGTGTAGGATACTTACCAGGAATTATCCTCACCTCACATTTCCATATGCGCTCCACCATTCAAACCAAAATTGCTCCGTGATTTGTAATACCTCCTATTCAAGAGATTCTAAATACAACAAAATTACAACGCTTACAAAATCGATTAATAGAACCAAGGAAACAAGACATGTCAATCAACTCTGATGCTGATATTAAAATGGCTGATAGGTCAAACAAACAAGTCAAGTATGACTTAGATCAGTTACTTCAAGGAACACAAGGTACCTCCTTAACCTAAACATCTCGATCATTCTTGGATGCTTTGGTTTTGTCATCATCATCATATGCGTCTTTTTTACGCACTTCGCTACTACCTATGGAAACGAAGAACTTTTACATCC